CGGTGGTGTAGGTAGGATTTTATGAGTTTGATAAAGGATATGGGATATTGGTTGGTGAGCATTTTCATCAGTAGGCCTTCATGCCAAACCGTATCGAAGGCCTTTGCGACGTCCAGGAAGACAGCACCAGTGTACTGTCCCCTGTTGAAGGCCGCCGTGAACTTTTTTTTTTTTACTTAAAATTATATGCTCAGATTGATCCTCCTGAATAAAATCATGCTATTATGAAACACCCTGTATATGTATTTTTATGTAACTTGTTACGGGCTTATTTTTTTTCTTACTATTTTATTTAAATTTATATTAGTCCTTATTAAAAATAGCTAGGTATTTAGGTAAATTAGGGTATTTAAGTATTTTCTATTTTAAACAAATATTATGGTATGGTTTAATTTGTATTCTTCCCAAAATATTTCAATTTGTTCATTAAATTATCGTCGGTAGGTAAATATAAAGTTCCCTGTCGATATACGGCCGAACGGACTTTTTCTTTCCTTTTTTCTTGGTCTCAGGCATTTCTTACTTCCTCCTGGGCTCTTGGTCGCGAGAGAATTGTCGACTTAGCAGCGTGTGTTCTCGTTACAATAAATATCGCTTTTGCGGATCTTGCTGCATTTTGTGGGCAAAAATTTGTTTTGTTAGTTCTGGTGAATCCAGTGTCAACCGTTGTTGGTTGGATTTGTGCCCATAAAACCCGACATAAGGTACCACTCACCACGAGGCCGCCCTACAACAAAGGTAAAACTTTAAATAATCTTCACTAATTTTCTATATCTCTACCTCACTGGGAAACCTACTTAGACATGCTTCTCTCTTTTTTTTTGGCCTCGTAATCGTCCTCGTACTCGCACTCATCCTTGTTTTAATTTCATCTCATTATATTCGCACTCTCACCCTCAACGTCACCGTCTTCGTCGCTGTTAGTGTACTGGGTGTTTTCCTACTTCATCCTCATATACCGGGTGATTCATTGCCAGTGGAAGTCCAAGGTATCATAACCCCGGACCTTGGTTAAACAACGCAGGCTTACTCCTCGCTTTGGTTGGATTATTATCTGCACTGGAGAGCAGTATCCCTATCCAAGACTCGCCTGACATAACTCCCAGTTGCTGCCTGGCTTCGTGTCCTTTTGTGGATGCTCCTGTATGGTTGGAGTAGTAAATATTCCCCTGCATAATCGTTGGAACCAGTCACTGGTGCTGCAGAAACCGCTCAGATAAGCTTAATTTTAAGTTATGCATGTTACATAGTTAATCCTTATCTGATTTAGCCTGATCTCATATAGTATATATTTTATTCTATCTTTTATTTGGAAATTTAGCTTAGGTGGTAGCAATTATCACCGCCTATTTTACTTATTCTATTCCGCTACCAGATAATTACTTTACTCACCTTAGTAGACATTACTACTTAGTTTTTCCCCTTGTTATTTAGTTTGGCGTACTGTTAGGTAACTTATTAGTTAATTGTTTTAATAAGGTACATAAATTATTTACTTACAATTCTTGCTGACCTTTTCCCTGTTCTTTTGTTATAGTTTATAAATTTATATTACTTCGATATAGGTAACGGCAATAATTAATAAACTTTAGGTTCGCTTACAAAACTTTTGATAGTATTCATACTTTGTTTATGCTAAGCTCAATTGCCCTTGTTACTAGTTAAATGGCCTTTATTCGCTTACGCTTTACTTAATATTGTTTCCCAACAATCTAAAGAATATTAAAAACATATTTAATCGATTAGGCACTTAATTTGAGTTATAAGATATAAGTTTTATGTAATTTATTTCTTCGAAAGTCTGTACACCGAACCAATAGCGCTATCGGAGAGGGTTATCACTATCCTTATTATTTAAACCTATAGTTAAAACTATTTTGCCCAACATACCTAAGAGGTGCATAATCGGCCAATATTTACAACTAAATTGATTTAGCGATTGTAGCCTTTAGGCACCGGCCATTTAGATAAATTAAAGTTACCGTTTGTATAGTTACTTTCTTAGGGCTTTTATTTGTACCTTTTTCCCGTTTTTTTTTTTACTGTAAGGTTCCGGCGTCTCTCCAGCCTTCTTGCGTATTGTCCATCGGGTTGTAAAACGGGTGGCGCCTTAAGAGAATTATTTTCAGTTATATCAACCCCACCCCCATTGCTGAGCTGAGCTAGGGCCAACCCTATAGTTGGAGAGAGCCTTATTGTCCTTGGAAAGGAAAATCTATTAAAATTTTATTTTACCACCCACAAGCGGGTAGCAAACTAACTGTTTTAATGCATTTAAATGTAGCATATATTATATTAAAAGCCAATTTCGCTTTCTCTCCCGATTATAATTTGATCCTCTATCTTTTTATATACAGTGAGCTCTCTTTCACGTTTGCGCATCTCATCTGTCATTATATTTTTACCGCAATCGGCACAATCAATAATCAATGAATGAATAATGTTCTTGTTTGCCGCCCCAAAATGGCGATTTATTATATGTCAATTTCTGCTTTTGTACTGTATATAAGCAAGGCAAAATATATCATAGACCTAATAAACTACATTAGGTCTATGGTCTATGAATAATGCATAGATGGCATAGATTATTTAAACAATGGCAATAAACATACCACTTACCTACTTACTTCGCAGTAGGTAAAATACCTAGTAGGCAATATTATTCATAATTCTTTTTTGGTAGGTTTATTGTTACATATTCTTACACAATTAAACGTCAGATTAGTTTCCAGTTGTTTACTATTCTTCATTTCTTCCAAAAGTTGTGGATTTTATTATATTTTTAAGAAAATAGTTTTCTTTAATAAGTTGAAATTGGAAGTGAGTGGTGTCTTTTTAAGTATTCCGAATTTTATTATTATGTAAAATTTTTTCAGTTTTCAATCTTTAAAGTTTACCTACCATCTGTTTATCCATATTTAATTTGTATGAATTTATATTTTGTTTTTTGATCGGTTCATATAAAATACTATATAGTTAAAATGGTGTTTTGTTAAATTTTAGATGAGTAGTACAACTGCTAACGATATTCCTGATTGTACTATTTATTGTAAGTCCGTTCAACATGGAGATATAATAACGGCTGCACTTTCTAAAAGAAGTATATCAGAATTTGACCTATGTGCTTTTCTTAATTATACATGTATGCGTTGTGAATCTGTTAGAGATTCCACTGGACGAACAGCATTACATGTGGCAGCATCTTGTGGTAGAGCAGAAGTCGTAAAATGGTTGATATGTAGCCGACATGCAGATATTGAAGCAAAGGATAAGGAATCTGGATATACTGCATTACATAGAAGTATTTTTTATGGAAAAATTCATGTAGCAGTAGAACTTATCAAATTAGGCAAGAAAGTTGTTTCCTTAATTATGATACATCCTGATTCTTTTTAAATTAATACTTTTATTATTGAAAACTTAAGATGGAATTGGATGTAAAGTTCAGTTAAGGATGATTTATATATAATTTTAGGAGCTTCAGTCTCTGAGTTAGATCTCGACCACTTAACCATATTAGAACACGCTATGAAGGATGGGTTACAACCTGATACAAACTATGGTGAATTATATTGTTGGGGATCAAATAACAACAATTTATTAGGTCCTCAGCAAGCTAGAGAAAGTCCAGAATTATTAGATGTGTTTCATAAGGAACACCCTAATGAATGTGTGAAGCAGATATGTATAGATCAGTTTCATAGTGTAATAATTACAATTTCAGGTGAGTTACTTAGTCCTTGCAACAAGTAGGTAAAATTTATATCACATTTTTATTTTATTTAAAAATTGCTTCTTTGCATAAGGTTAGTGAAATAAATTTGCAATAGTGTTTCTCATATTTCAGGAAAAGCTTATTCCTGTGGACATGGCCAAGGCGGAAGATTAGGACTTGGTATAGAACAAGCTGTAGTTAGTCCCCGTATTATAAATTTTTTGGACACACAAAAAGGTGACATTGTCACATGTCTTCAAGCCAGTATTTCAAGGGACCATAGCATTTTTTTGTGTTCTGATGGAAATGTAAGTAAAAACAAGTAATAAATGTAGCACTTAATTAGGTATTTTGATTTCACAATTATTAGACTTTCAAAATTACCTTTGAATTTAGATTTACACCTGTGGCTTAAATACATATCGGGTACTTGGGATTCAACCTCCTCCAGTAAAACTATTAATTCCAAAACCAATAAAACACTTCATCAGCGAAGCGAAGGGCGTTTGTTCAGGACGATACCATTCAGTTACATGGGGCTCCAAGTCGCTCTACACCTGGGGATTGAATGGTGGCCAACTTGGCCATAAAATAAATAATAAAACTGAAGAGCAGTACATTGTAACTCCCAAAAAAGTAAAGTTTATAAATATTGATGAAGTAGATATCAGAGCCGTGGCGGCAAGTGATGGAGCTACTGCAGTTTGTACAGATCGAGGAGATATTTATGTCTTGCATGAATTTCTCTGTAGGAAAATTGCCTCTAGGTGGGTAAGATATGTCTTTAATAGTATTCTATAGAAATACCTACCTATTCATCTTATACAAATCTATGCTGATCGCATGATTATTATTAATTTGTTTTAGTAAAAAATGTTCTTAATAATTAAGAACACATTTTTTTATGTATCTATAATATACAAGGCAATAAGACATGGAATTTAATCTAATTCTACTGAACTACAATCAATAATTAAAAATGTACAGTGTAGTGTATTCTAATAATTAAAGGGGCATCTTTTAAGATGTTTGATAACTTAATAACTAATTATAAAAATTCACTAAATCTACTAGTATTCAAAGAAAAAAGATCTCTCATTTCATTCGAAGAAAGTTATTTTCATTATATATTTTTTTTAATCTAAAATCATCTATTATCTAAATCTATGAAACAGTTTAATAAATTGAAAATGTCAATAAAACTATTCGTTTCATAAAAAAATGTTTCAAATATAATAATTATGTTTAGCAAGGTCAGATTTCTATTTCATTCTATATTCGGGACTTTTAATGATTACATAATTTTTAAAATTGCATTTGTAGCAAAAGATTCATATATTTTTATTTGTAAAACATATGGTGCTAGAATTATTTTTCAATTTATTCAACTATGTGGGCTAAAAAAATAACTTGATAATTAGGTGGGAAATCATTTTTTTAAATAAAATGAAAGATATTTTTTCTTTGCGATACAACTATTAATCAAATGGACTGAATGAATTTCTGATGTTCTCAGTAACAGTATCTCCCAGTACCTATGCCTCTTTTATATTTGAAGGGTACAGGCAAAGAAGGCGCTAGATCAAAATAATTAGTTTCGAGAAAAATTAATTTAAAGGTTTGGCATCTCTGGTATTCGTTTATTATTTGAAAATATCATATTATTTGAATTATTTTATAAATGTATTTAAGCATTGGGCTGGATACAATTCAGTCTAAAGAGCACAGACTCAGGACTATTTCTATAAAAAAAATAAACATTTTTCAAAAATGAAACAAAACATATTGAACTTAGGAATTCCTTTCGGGTCACATCAACTACAGAATATTTCCAACTTATGGAGGTTTGTTACTGTTTTTGAATTGGAGCATAACAGATCTAAAAAAATATTCCATCAGGAACAAATTTTATAGGACCTTTTTTAAGCTTACCGTACTGTAAGTAAAAAAAAAATGTAATTAGCTCTCATCTAAATATGGCAACTGATTAAAGTACTCTTGGGCAGCTGAGCCACAAAATCTTTTTAACTCTTGTGTATTTTTCCATTTGAGTTTACTAATAGATAGAAGCTCTAAAATATAAGGAAATAATTTAGTATTGCTATTGCAAAGACGTTGAGGTTGATTGGAACCTTTGGTGACGTAAATTAGAATCGCAGAGTTTTCTAGAACACGAAAACAAACACACTGTGCCCAATGTGCGTTTCGCTAACCAGATGATGCTAACTTGGTTAGCCAAACGTGCATAGGCAACAGTGTGTTTGTTTTGGTGTTGTGAAAAAGTATGTGATTTTCCTTGCAAGGACGTTCTTACAAGAAGCACCATGTATATTTTTTAAAATTTTTTTAGCTTCGTATGCAGGATCCAGAAGCTCAAATTCGTTATCCTTCAACTGATTTCCCCTAGGCATTTTAAACTTTGGATCAGTAATGGCAGTGGTTTCCCACATACCATTATAGCCGTCTCGATGAAGTATCATCCGTGGATATTCTTTTACAATCTTCATCTCCCTAATCGGTCTAGACGTAAATGGACATGTACATCTGTAACTTTTTTGCAAAAACCTCGTCCAGCTTTTGAAGTCTGTTTGATTAACTGTTTCAACATGAAAAGGGGAGGGTTTATTTCTTGCCATTTTGAATACTTCCACCCATTCTTCTGGTAGTTCTACTCGTGCCTTTTGATTTACTAGCCCAAAATCCTTGTCACATTCTAGGTACGAATGACCTCTTATTGGAAATGTAATTTTAACAACGTCCAATCATTTTTCTGTATGCACTACATAATGAAAGAAGCGGAACATTGTGTAGTTTTTATTCTGTCCTTCGCAGGAGTCGCAAAATATTTCTATTTCACGAATATCAGGATGCAGATAATGATATAAAAAATGATGTAATAAAGAACAGACATTATCACTGCCTTTCTTTCACACTATTTCTGGATACATATAAAATACGCTTTGTTACGTAGAGAGAACGTGCACATTAAATGCATACATCGACAACTGTCTTTTATAATAGACATCATTAGTGCTAATATTGGGAACCGGTAAGTTTTTTGCGAAATCGATACAAACTGTCTCTGTGGAAACTGTTTGTTGGCTACATTTCTTTGCATTTCTTTTTTTTTATAAAATTCTTCTGCCTTTGCTTTGTGTTACCTGTTTTCTATGTTCAATCTGTTTATGTCTTTATCTATTTTACGGTACATAAGATCTTCTGACTGTGATAAATTAGATTTTTCTGTTTCTAGGCTTTTAACCTTAACTAAATATTCATCGCACTGACTACATGTGTCAGATCTAGGATACACGAATGCTAAGTTTCATATGATGCATGTTTGTTTGTGTAATATTCGTGTTGACAGTTATTTCATTTAAGTTATGTTTTTGAATGAATGTGGAGAAAATTGATAAGACAACTTTCTTGGACTGTAGTCTTTAGTAGACTACACTTTAATTCTAATGGATAGTTGTCAAAGCTATATAAAGAATCTAATGTGTTACTTAAATTACTTGGGATATTGCATACTTTTCCAAAAACTAACTCCAATGGAGTATACTTTGTTTCCGTTTGAACAGTTGTATTATATGCAAAACACCAGTACGGTAACCAAGTACTCCAAGAAGCGGTGTGCTTCTCTGTTTGCATCCGTAAATAAGCTCCTAGAACTTTATGAGAATTTTCTAATGCTCCTATGCTTTCTGACGGTAAAATGTTGAATTAATTTTACTCTTTTACCTATCACGGTTGAACCTTGTCCTACATTAAAATATTGTCAATTCAGCACTTGACAGTTTAAGTTTAAAACACTAAAACTACTCTTACACTACATTTGAAAACTTTTCAAAAAACATATTAAACATCTTTTTAATATTCAGTTCTTCTGGCAAATATAATTTGGCAGAATCATGTAAGCTATAATGACTTTTGCGACCCTAAAATGAACTAATACGTTTCATGAGTACACCTCGGGTTTCTTCAGAAAGCTTATGTGGGCGGTTGGCTACCATCTTTTGGAGCATCGCCTGTCATTTTTATTGACCACTGTAAGACCTCTAACTTTTTTTGACCGATTCCATGTAAAGTTATAAATGCTTTCTTACATACTTGAACCTCTTTGGTATTCCCATTTGTAGTATTTAAGAACCTAACGCGGTACCGAAAAAAAGCATCATAAAGCACAGCATCTTGCACGGGTTGCCTAGGTCTTCGTTGCTTAATAGGCACAGTAGTAATTAAACCATACAAATAAATATTTTGTTCATCAACTGAATTAAGTAAATTAAAATTTTGAATAATTCTTCTTCGAGAAGGTTTTGATACACGCACAAAGCAGTTAAATCTTTTACTTATACAGTCTTCTCCTGTAGTATGGCTCCTCAAATTTAACAATTTATTTATCTCACTTAACCATACTTTCTTTTTTTCTTACTATCCCTAATATTCGGACATTTAAAGGTGTTGTCTTCAGCTTCACCCCCCATTACACTTCACATTTTGTTATTAAATTAATAATTTACACCAAACTACTTGTAAAAAGTTGTTGTACGAAGAATGGACATCAACTACTTGACTTGGCGCCTTTTTCTCTAGGACCTTTTTATCCAGTATAGAGAAATTTAAATAATCTGTTATTCCTGACCTAACGCGTTTTTAGCCATAACACATTTATGGGAAGATAGTATACACCAACGACTATTAGATGGTGCAAATACCTCGTTTTCAGTAAAAATTGACATAGCGCCTTCTTTGCCTGTACCCTTCATTTATAATTATAGAAAAAAAATCTTGCCCTATATTATACAAATGTTTTTAAGGACTACCCTCTGTAGAAGCAAATATTAATTTATTGGATCTTTGGATATATTTTTCAAATAATGACTGACATTGATGTAGATTCTGATTGAAATTTAATTAAAAATATCTTTGATAGCCACTATGTATAACTATTATTTCTAGACAGTTAAATGTGGTTCAAATTGATATTACTGGTGGAAAAGTAGATGCCACTTCTCTAAACCAGGAATCAAAAAAATCTCAATGGGAACTAAAAGTTGTTGCTTTAACAAACACTGGGAATCTTTTATTATGGCAGCAATCTGATCCACAACTTTGTAGATGCATTTTTTCCATAAACAGAGCAATTATTGCAAAGCATGTTGCAATAAATATTAATGAAGTATTGTTAGTAACGGATTATGGTGAAGCCTTTAAAGGAAATATCTGCCAGAGAAAGAAGAAACATGTAAATCTAAATAATGTTGAGAAAAATGTGAAAGGTAATGAGAAAAGTGCCTTTCACAAATTTTTAGAAAAAGAAGATTGCACATTAGTGCAGTTAAAGAAGATTTGCAAAATTCATCGAGCTATTTTTATTCAAAGTGACACTAAAGGCAAAGATTTTTGTATTATACAGGTACATTATATAAATAATATAAAAGTATATTTTTATTAAGGGTGTCCCAGAATTACACAAGAAGTAGTTTTGATAGAACATACAGGTTTTTAATTAAAAATTGTTAAATTTTTTATCGACTCAGATAAAGTACACTCGATGCAAGATAAAGGTTTCCAATCTGAATCGTACTTTGTTTGAAATATGACGGCTTAACCGCTTGTCTATTCCCATTAAACTCGTGTGGCAATATTTTAGCGTCACATCTGACATTTTACGAGTTTTGTACAAAAATGCTTTCCTGGTAGATTGGCATTTTTAAAATGGGACTAATCGGCAAACTCTTATAGCAGACCCCGTATGCATTTTATATTATCTTGTTTCTATTAAAAGAGTTGCATTTACATTACAATAGACAAATCGATTCATCCTAGTTAATAAATCTTGGGAAACGTCTACTACCTACTTACGAATAGTTAGATTGAATGGATTTAAGAAAATTAAAAATTTTATTTTTTTTTTTAATTTTGAAAACCCTGCAGCTCGGAAACGGCGGGCTTAAGAGCCTATGTGTGTGTAACAAATTTTACTTAATTTTAGCCACAGAATGGGCCTCTGGTTTTTTTCTGTACGCCATTAATGATCACGGTATAGGTGCCCCCCATGAAATCAGTTGAAGTTTCTTATAAAAGTTGTAAAGCATACAATTCTACATAAAAATGGCTTCTTGACTTTTTCTTGTATTATTAAAATTAATAAAGTTAGGGAGGCTGGAAGTTAAGGGAAGGTTTCAAACATTTAAAAAAATCATAACAAGCAGAAAAATGAATGAATTTTGTATTTTTTTTTCAATCTACTCTAAAAAATGTAACTTTTGTTTTCAGAGAAATAGATAATTTTTAATTTTTTATAAGTTATAATTTCAAATTTTTAATCGTTAATTTTAAGGATGTAACAAAACTGAGACAATTTTTTTCTATACTATTTGCTTAATTATTTAAAATAATGAAAAGTTGTCTTCGAATTTTTTTTTACGTTTGTTTTTTAGACAGACAAATTTATTTACCTTTTTATATTTTGAATTTTATTTAGCTCTTACGACACTGCCAGGACAAAGATAATAAATCACATTCGCTTTGTCGCACTCGTGGTACCGAAGTTGTGGACAACTCGTATACTTATGACAAAGATAGATTATTTTGTTCGCTATTGTCAATGCGCGTGCGTCAGTAAACGTGTGTTTCTTTAAATTATTGTATACTCAATATCCATTGTTAATCTCAAAAAGGTAAATACATATTAATAAGAATTAATATTTTTTCTTTTAACCTAAAACGGATGCAAACTANTAGATTATTTCGTTCGCTATTGTCAATGCGCGTGCGTCAGTAAACGTGTGTTTCTTTAAATTATTGTATACTCAATATCCATTGTTAATCTCAAAAAGGTAAATACATATTAATAAGAATTAATATTTTTTCTTTTAACCTAAAACGGATGCAAACTAACCCTCATGTTCACCCCTAAAAATAATATTTCCGTGATAACTTGGGTTCTAATCAATATTTTGGTATAAAAGAAAATGGAAATTACTTCTTATAAAAAAAACATTTATGGGCTTATGTAATGCGCCAGTTGAATGAACAGTATGACGATATTCTACCAAATAGAGATACGCTCTGGGAACGTATACAAAATATTTGGAACACTATAGACGTGAATTATATGCGACCCCTTGTTACATCTATGCCAAACAGATTACAAAAGCCGATATTGATTCGGATGGTGGTTGGACATATTATTAGACTGTTTTGTTTTTTCATTGTTTATAAAATGATGTCAAAATAAGTAAATAAGTTCATAACATTATGGGCCCGGAAATGCTTCCTTTCTGATAGACGTAAGATTTTAAAAAATCCTGTTTTTCTAAATATTTCGAAAACGATTTAAGATATTACACTGAGCTTTGGTGTATAGTACAGTGGCAGTGTAATATCTTAAATCGTTTTTGAGATATTTAAAAAAAAAACGATTTTAAATTTCTTTCGACATCTATCTCAGAAAGGAAACATTTCCGGACCGATATTGTCATGAACTTATTTACTTACTTTCACTTCTTCTAGAACACATCCTTAAAATATTTCCCTTTCCTCCCGAAACTGTATAAGTTATAATAAAACTAGTTTACAATATTTTTTTATTTTGTTGCATTCATGACCTACCTACCTACTTTCTGCAGAATATAACACAAATTCTTATTTCAAAATATTAATTTTCTCAGTGACAAGAAAAATAATGTGACAAGATAAAATAATTTCAAAACCTGTATACTTTCCTCTTTTTATAATGCATATACTTCAGGCCTGCAATTTTTTGTTATGTGTCGTTACACACGTGCCTACACAAAAAAAAATATGACACGCCCCTAATTATTGATGCCTCCCAAAATTCCTATTAATAGTCCAACGGCTCGCCCCTTTAAAAGTAGTATGCCTTTTAGGTTGGAAGCCTTTATCTTGCGTCGAGTGTACATTGTATGTATGGAATAGCATATCGGGTAAATGGCCTCGAAGGCTTTTCTGGCCCATATATACTATTTTGTCGAAATTTTCCATGATTTTTCATAAATGTGGCTGAATTTAATTAATACAGCGCTCAATTTCCTCAATCAAGGTGATGGTGGTCCTGGGCTTGTTGGCATAAACCTTAGACTTCAAAAAAATCCAAAGAAAACCAACTCCAGTCCAACGGCGTTAAATCACATGATCTGGGTGGCTAATTCTGATCACTAAAACGGGGAATTACACGACCAGAAAATGACTCATACAGTAACTTAATTGCTTCTCGGGTTGTATGGCATATCTTGCAATTTAGGCACAAAAAACGGAATTGTCAGGTCACAATAGTGGGCACCATTAACTGTCATTGCCTGACCATCCGCATTTTCGTTGTATGCATTTGTTTCTCAACAATCACTTGTGAATTTTCTGAACCCAAAATGCGACAATTTTGTCGATTAACGAAGCTATCAAGATGAAAATGAGCCGCATCGCTGAAGATGATTTTGTTCGACTCTCAGCAACAGTCTCACAGACTGCTTCGATGTTTTGTGTTGAACGACTTGTTGAAGAATGGCCAGAGTGTTTATGAAAATTAATCCAGTCCCCCAGAATTTTTCAATCTAATCTCTTACAGTTGATGAAGTTAAATCACTTTAATAACCCTGAACTGTCAGCTGTCACCTTGTCTTTTTTCATTGGCAACACTTCACCGTACAAATGGCGCATAATTCAGATTTTGCTGTGAATTTTGGGTCACCTGATATAAGTAGTTTTATATATATTTCTGATTTTATTGCATATATGTATGTTAATGATTTTTAGGCTCTTCCATATAAATTGTTTGAATTCCCTAAAATTATCGATTCTGAAATGCAAAAGGACCTTAATACATTGCTAGACAATGCAGATGAATCAGATAATATCCACGATATAGTATTTAAAGTTGGTCAAAAATATTTTCCAGCACATCGTTACATCATATCAACAAAAAGCCCTTACTTTGAAGAATTATTTTGCCAAAGTAAAGAAGAAGTCATCACCTTAAATGACGTACACGATGCAATATTTGAACAGTTTTTGTTATACATTTATACGGGTTGTTGTGATCTTACTAGCTGTGGAGAATTAAAAAGTGAAGTGCTTCGTAATATGCACCAAAACCACAGTGATTTGGTGGAAAATAGTAAGTTACAAGAAAACGAGGCGCAGATAACTTCTGACATGTCAGCATATGAATATTATCAAAACACTAAACATGAACAGAAAATTAAGCTGTTGAATAGTAGTCAAAACCTTAAAAACCCCATAAGAATGTTACAAGAATTGGCCAAAAGATACGGATGTAAAGAATTACACAATACACTAAGTAACTTGGAGATGCAAAAATGTGTTATTAGATTCAAACATGCCGCCGAATCTAAGCTCTTAGTACCCATGGTATTTAATAGGATGATGTTTCCAAATTTTTATGATATCACTATTAAATGTAGGGACAATAAAGAAATTATGGCACATAAATGTATTTTAGCAGCTAGATTGGAGTATTTTAATAATATGTTTTCGATGAGATGGAAAGGGGTAAGTTACTTTATAGAAAAATCCTACAAATATTTGATTTACCCATTGAATTTATCTGAAAATTTATTAATTTACAATAAAATTCGCCCCATTTAGCAGACTCACCAATCAGAGATAGAAAATTATTTCACTTACCACATAATAAACTTAATTACTTTTCTCCATCGAAAATTGTGCCTTTGATCTTATGTCATCTATGAGTTACTGAAAATACCTGATATTGGATTAAAAAAAGATAATTAAATTTACAAGGTACTGGTTTCTTTCATAATGTTTTGTATTGTTTCGAGCCAAAATCTTAAAATACAGGATGATTTAAGTCTCTTCTTTTTTTAAGTGCAGGGTGTTGGAATATTGTAAATTTAAAAAAAAAACATTCTAAAGTTATTTAAGTATGGTATAATTTTAGTTTTTTCTGTGGTTATTCGCTGCATGTTAAATAATTTAATTGGGAATTAAATAAACCCATGTCTAACGAAAAAATATCACACTGAAGAAAAGCAGACAAAATGGTCAGTGTATACAATAGATACAGGCTGTTCATTTAAACAAATTAAATAAAATAATGCCTAGAATAAATGGGGCAGCAAATGTAATAGAAAATAATTTTAGAATGTGCAGAAATTTAGTTGATGCGATTGATTTTACTTGGTATATTTTGTCATATTATGATCATTATCAGCACTACAGAGGCATACATTTTACGTAATTTTTTTAAATGCAGCTATTAGGAACTGTTTTTCAATAAAGACAGTTTATTCAAAAACTGTCACTTGTGGTGACACTAAAACCAAATTTGTACTAGGTCGTCTATTCGGAACCTCCTGAAAATAAATAGCCACTTATAGTAGGATCATATTCGATGCAAAGTAGAGCAAAAGTTGTCGGTCTTTTATCAAAGGAAAATCGTGTCATCATTTTTAGGAGGCGTAAGATGAACCATTTCAAATTTAAAATGAAATTCAATGTTAAATCTGAAATACCGCTGCATACGCCTTGTGTTCTGGAAGTAGCTGTAGTCGCCCAGGTGCTCGAGTGTACGAAGTAGTCGGTTATACGTCAAATACTAACCTCGTCAGCTTGATCGTAAAACAGGAGCACCTCCAAAAAACAAGTAAACAAAAGTGGCGCGTACAGAGGAAATTAAAAAACAAATTGGATTTATAATAAATTACATTTAAAATAAATAGTTTATGAGAATAAAGGAATTTTTGTAGGAACAAGGGTGTCAGACGTGAACTGATCCCCTCGTCCCTTCATAATGGATAAAGAAATTATTCAATTTCTAAAACCCTTAAAAGCGTACTGCATTGGATCCCTTGACAGGCAATGATTTATTACTTTGCATCGAATATGATCCTACTAGGTTTGCTATGCATTTGTTTTTCGTCGGATTTTTGCTTATAAAAAACACTTTTCTATTGTGTGTTATTTTGTCCGATATGTGGTAATCGTTTATCATATCCCGTGAAATTCCGATTTCCAGCTGTCGGACTGAAAAAACGCGGCTTGAAATTTGTCGGACAACAATACTTTTTGACTGAATTAATTATTTACAATTAGTTTTACTAAAAATTACCTATGTGGTAGTTGATTTTTAGTACCCTGTCATTTTGGCATGTTTCGGCCGGTAGACACGTCAATGTTGGAAGAATTTCTGTCGGACAAATTTAAATCGGCATTTGCAACAAAATTTCCAGTAACTTAAGCTAAAAAAAAGATGCGGTCTTGACTGTTCAAGACCCCGGGAAATTGCCATGTTCTTGGACTTTTCCAAGTGGAAAAGCGGAGGAATCGAGAAAAGTCGCAGAGGAAAAGTGTGGTAGACTCGTCAAAACGAAGTTCCTCACGAGTTATAAAGTATGTGGTAATCAACTTTCCAGGGGGTGCCTGTACTGTGGACTAAAGTGAAAACTGACTGGGGAGTAAAAGAGAATAGGAATACTAGAGTTCATTAACATCACCATTAATTCAGATAAATATAAGGATATCTTGGAGAGAGTAACTTATTTTTAACGGCATCAAAACAATTCGTCATCAGAAATTTAATTTTCCAACAGGATGGTGAGATCCTCTGTCATATGATTAAACTTATAAAGAAATTGATTTGGAGCCAATGACATTGTCTTGAGATGGCTGTCAATCAGCCTTGACCTAAACGCTTGAAACATTATGATACCATTTGAAAAAGTCCTTGCAGAACAATACCCAAACGATAATTTTCGATCTCAAAAGAAAAATCCAGATTTCTGAATATTTCACTCCCGCTTTAATAGATTCTTAGGTGACATTATGCCAAAGAAAATTTGCGCTGTTATACAGGACAAAGGAGAGGTTACGAATAATGAAATTATAAGCAAACTCTTGTCCAAACATTTACTTGCCACCACATTTGGAAGCTTTTTTTAAATTCTCATTGCAGTTTAACTGGACAACCTTATTTAAAAATTACATCAAATTTATAATTGGTATTCAAACATTTAGCTGTTAGGGCTTATACTTGCTGCTAAAATATATTTATACATTTAAAATTCACCCTGTATATAATTTGCATTATTTTTCTTAAAATTTTCCACAGATTTTTTTTTATTTGCTCTTGGATTTGATTTCACTTTTTTTCAGGCTGAAACCTCTGAAGTAACCTTACCATTTCCAAAAAGTATTGCAGAAGCATTGCTGGAATTTTTATATACCGACTCTGTGACATATCTAAATGGCACTGATATTGATCATCTTTTCAAGATACTAATACTTGCTGATCAATTATTTGTTATAAGGCTCAAAGAACAGTGTGAATCACTGTTGACAAACCTGCTGACATTGAAAAATGCCGTCCAACTGCTTTCTTTTGCCGATTCATATAATGCAAAAAAGCTCAAGCACTGCTGTATGAAATTTATTACGTTAAATATAACAGCATTTTTAGAGTTGAGATCCCTTGAAGAATTGGATGATGAACTGTTGATAGAACTTTCTGAATTCTATTTTCAAAATACAAAAAAGCTCTCATGCAGATTTATAACTCCATATTCTGTAGCTCCTTTGGATGAGGAAATTATCTCGTTAACTAGTCTACATAATTTTTCATTAAAAGATGAGGTGGAACAAAAAGTTTTGGTTAAGTCCAGTCAGAAAAGAAAATCTCGAGCACATAAAATTAGTTTATCTGAAAAAAACAAATCATTGGACAATGACATTATTAGTTTAGATAACTTAATACAGTTTCCTGACATACCCGAGGTAATTTCAGAATCCAAGAAAGATTCGAAAAATATGCCTGATAGAGTTAAAGCTATTACTTTGGCCAGTGAGAAAATTAAAGGAGAGGATATTGAGCCACAATTTACAAAGCTGTCTTCCAACAAAAATTACAGTTCTTCTAGTCTGAGTAGATCTTTTAATGAAGAAAATGATTTTCCAGAACTGAATAGTCCACCGTTATATTCGAACAATAGTTTTTATCATAAAACGCCTCCTCAGAAAATTGATTCCAAACATAAAATTATTAGACTGTCCCAAAAACAAAGAAAGAGGTTATCTTCTGAAAGCAACAATAATATCGGGCCTTCAACACCAGGTATGCATTTATTAGAAATACTTCAAAATGTATTTAGTCATCGGTATATATTTATGTATTAAAAATTCAGTGAAATAAGTGATATAAGATGTGTTTCATATTATTGCCAAAGTATGTGTGCCAATTTACTAATATCAATGCTAAAACATAAAACATAATAATTTACATTATAACATTTAATATATCTTTTTGAAACCTGAATCGTAAAAATAATTGAAGCCAGAACTATTACTTTATTATAATATCGATACCATTATTTAGAACAATTAAATAATTTTAACTTTTCCAACAGATATCCCATTACTTTCATCATGTTTAATATTATCAAGTACATTTGTAATGTGATTTAAAATACTGGGAATGTGAATTCATTGTGTGGGATTTTTTTATAAATTCAAGGCTTTATTGTAAAAATTTTATATACATTTTTATTTTTCAAAGTATTGTCCATCGCTAGTCACTACTTTTTCCCATCTTTCTAGCAGCATATGGATTCCACATCAAAAGAACAACTCGTCTTTTGATTCTGTCCACCAATTGGTTCAATTTTTCGTATCTTCATGCTGCTTAGCCAGGCCATGCTCCATGAATCGGAACAAGTAGTAATCTGATAGAGCAATGTCTGGTGAATATGGCGGATGTGGTAAAACATTTCATTTCAGTCTTTCTAAGTATGTTTCGAATTGCAGCTATTTTTTCTTAAATGCACGATTCAAACGCATCAATTATTTTCGGTATTGCCCATGAATAATGGCTTCATTCGGTTGAAGCAGCTCATAGTACGTAACATTAAGCTGCTCCCACCAAATACAGAGCATGAGCTTTGAACCATGAATATTCGGGCTTTGCCGTCGATGTTGATGCACGACCAGGCAAACCTCACTATTTTCTACATTTAGGATTATTATTATTATTATTAGTGTTTCAATCTTTCATCGCCAGTGAAAATATTTCTCGGATTTATCTTCCTTACATTTGAATCATACTGAGTGTGTTTAAACTTTTGGAAACTGTTGTGCAATCAACATTCAACAATGCAGCAAGTTCATCTTGTGTTTGACATGAATCTTGATCGAATAATGCTTCTAATACTTCAGCTTCGAAGTTTTTGGGTTGTTCAGGGTGTTCTTTGTCAACTGTACCAAAGTCACTACTTCTAAAACGTCAAAATCAATACTCACTCTTTTATCTATGGAATATATTCACTGTAACTTTCCAACAGCATTCGATTACTTTCGACAGCGCTTTTCTTTGAATTAAACAAGAAAAGTAAACCTTCCCACAAATGCTGTTTTGTTGGTTCGCAATTCGATATCTTTGGAGCTGAGAAACAGTATGTTGTTTACATTTCAGCAAAATGACACATAATAAGATGTAAAGCGTAATGACAGAATTTTGACATGAATATAGTTATCGAAGAGTGTGATGCGATATAGCAAGTTATGCCATTTATTGTAAATCCCCCGAAATTAACATTTTCCTTATTAATAAATAAATTATCATTATTTAGTGTTTCTTTGATTATACTCTCTAGGACTGTAGTCTGATTTAAATTAATTGAAATAAAAAGACTTTTGAGAGTACTCATAGAAATAACAATTTGTTTATGCTGGCTTTTACGTCAAACACTATAAAAAAATTCTGTTAAAACATTCTCACATATCAAAAAAATATTCTATACCACAGAAAAATAATTATTTTTTCATAAGTCAATTCTTTCAAAAATTGAGTTTGAGGCACCTCGGAGAGTACAAGAGGTTAGCTCACCTTGTACAATTATTAGTAATAATTTAGAATAACAGCAGTTCAGAGAATTGTAAGGAGTATATTTTTTAGTGATTGTAATCGGTTAGGAATAATTTAAAACCTATAAAAATGTGTTACTTGAATCGGTACTAATACATTTTGAAGGGTTAAACTCAAATTTTTTGTAGAGAGCCCAAAAAATCCGTGGAAAATTATTCCGGATATATCTAGCAGTCCCATTTCAGCTCCAGATACAAAATCAACAATCACTGATATCATTTATCATGAAAAGAGGCAAAAGGAAAATTTGGTGAAAATCACTACTAAGCTTCTAACTTATACTCAGGTGTGTAAGCAAAAAAGTTATAACGAATTCTTTTAAAGTTGCAATTATTTATAATTTTTGTCTAGATCGAAGACCGAGCCATTGATGAACTGCACAAATTTTATAATTGTGACGATGTAACTGATGAAATTATCACTATTGAGCGAGTAGCGATCGGTGCCATCGCATCACCTGTATGGGTTCCAAGAACCAAGTGATGTTAATGCCTTTGTTGAAAATTTGTGATATAAGCTTTTTAATTTGTTGATGTAACATAGAATATATGATTTTAAATATATTAGTATAAGTTTTATTCGTAAAATTTGTTTATGTTAAATATCAGTGGATACCTACACGAGTTATTTAAAAAATATTTTCAAAATACTTCAAAATCTATTTACATAATCCGTAAAACTTATATAAAAAAGAAAAACACCTACTAAATGTCAACAAATAGATAGGTACACATCTGTCATTCTGTACATCTTAGCATTTATTATAACTAAAACTATTGTCCGAACTTTAATGATGTGTTTTACTCACAAATTTATAAAAAAAAGTTTCTACAAATTCAAACTAAAATAAAGGGCCACTTACGGGTGCTAATTAAGATAAAAAAGTTCCCATAAACGTGGGTCCAAAAGTGCTTTTTTTTCAAGGTACGTGGTGTTAAATCTAAGAAATATTGTATACCGGTCTGGCCAGGTAATTCTTTCACATAGACTAAGTAAATTACACGCATCCCCCCTATTAACTTCGGATGGAAGGGGTAGGACATGACATATATCAGCGAGGCTGCGATTCGAACTCTCATAATTGGCTGGCTGTGGCAGCGCACATGCCCCGTTGCAGTTTTTGTGAACCGACCGAATACCTAAAGCGCTTTGCTGTTTGTTTAGTTTTATTTTTATTATTATTCCACTCAAAGCTTTGGTAAGAAGTACATGGAATATTACAAAATAAAAATGGTGTACAGTGTCAAACAAAAAATTAATATTATTAAATGGTATTGTCGTGCAGAAAGTGCAGAGGAAGTCATTGGCCGATATATATATTTTCATACCCTGACGAACCAGTTCCCACTGCTAGAACTGTTTTGAATATTTTTCATAAGTTTGAGGTGTGTGGATGTGTTAATCGGTGTACAAAATGTAGCAATCAGGAACCTCGTCAAGTTCCTAAAGCAAGGAGAGAAAAAGAGGTTAATGTATGTGCTTTTGTGGTGTAAGTAAGTGAGCCTTGTTCTTCCTCCCAAATTTGGGAAGAACTTGACATTTCAAGTCGTACAGTTTGTCGCATCTTAAAAAAAAATGATTACAAAGCCTATAAAATGCAAACTTCTCAAGAAATTATTCGTGGCGATCAAATAAGGCATATGGAGTTTTGTGAATCCATTAGGGAAAAAATAGATGAAAATAATGAATTTGCTAGGCAGATTTTATTTACAGACGAATAATCTTTTTCCCTACATGGCCGTCATAATCCTTCAGTGGTCCAATATTGGTCCCAGGAAAACAAGGATTTAAGTATACCATTAAGAACACAGTACCCTCAAAAGGTAAATGTTTGGGCTGGCATTTTAGGCAATAATATTGTGGGTTCCTTTTTTATTGATGGTAACTTAAATGCTGAGAGATATTTGCATTTATTACAAAATAGTGTTGTACCAGCTGTACGAAACTTAGATGTAAATTTTGAGGAAATTTAATTTCAGCAAGACGAATGTCCTGTACACAACGCAAGGCCAGTTCAAAATTATTTGGAACAAACTTTTCTTGAAAGGCTTATTTCCACAAGAGGTATCATACCTTGGCCTCTTCGATCTCCAGATCTGACACCCTGCGACTTCTTTTTATGGGGTTAAAATTAGAAATATTTTAGGATCAGTTACTCCTGAAATTTTGTCAAATGTTCGTCAAGAATTTTACGACAGATTAGGGTATTGTGAAATTCAAGCAGGTGGTTTCTTTTAACACCTAATTAGTTAATAATAAGCTTTTATTTAATAAGCATTTGAAAATAATTCATTATTTTGCTTAAGAATTACCACTCATTTTATTTTAAAATACTGTTTTAGTTTTTGCTAAAGGTTAAAAATAAATAAATAAATAAAGTTGAAATGTATGGTCTCAAAACCTTTTATCATTTTTGTAAAAAAATATCGTACAAATCGTATCTTAGACGTACGTTGTTCCCAAATTCCTAATGCAAGACAGAGACAATAAACCAATAGTCAAGGAGAGCTTAGAACCGCAGGCTTTGCACACTTCTTATGGCGTTTTTTTATTCCCTTATATCGATGGCATAAAGTTATACAAATGATATGGGGGCGGAGTCAGAATCATAAGGGGAGACTGGTGAAATATTTATATAATTTACTAACTTTGTGTCAGAAATAAAAATATGGCCAGACTGGTATACACAAATAACTCTGATGATGATTGATGTAGTTTAGGGAAACTTGGGCTGTCAAATTAATTAAGCAATGATAAAAGTTTACTATGAATTGCAGACATACCGCGGAAACACTGTAACTAAGAACCCAAGAATGCAGTGCAGTCACAATGTGATCATTGAAAGTTTGGAGAAGTTATTTTTCAATTTTACGCCATTGAACTTTCCGAACTATTAATAATGATCACTGCATTTTCAATAAAAAATTCTCATATTTTTTTTGTGAAGAGAACGCTTTTAGAACTATATTTAATTTAATCAACTGTGCAAGTTTATTTAGGCTATAAAAAATATTAACTCAAAAATTATTCACTTTTCAAATAAAATGAAAGAGATAGAATTTTTTCAAACACAAATAAGAATCAAATGGACTGACTGAATTTCAAAAATTCCCAGTTGGCTTCGAAATTCTTTAGTTCTTAGAAATGGTACAACTGGCTGATACAATTACGTGTGAATTCAGTGAATTTTACCTTTACTCAGTTCAGCTGCCCAGCTTAATTAATCTATATCAAACATCTTCAGAGATATTTGGATATTTGCGAAGACGTGATATGTTTCAAAAACGTTGACACTGTTTCTCCTTAATGAAACATTTTCCGACCCATATTTACCAGTTTTTTTATTTTTATACGCTCGGCATACACTTTTTTATTTCAACACTCAAAAATGTTTAATTTTAAAAATTGGAAAGATATAATTTTATTGTATTATTATTATTTTATTTTATTTACTGATGACATTATTTAAATTATTGTTTGTCTTTACTTCAGAAATGACTTAACGTCATGACACTTGTAGCAATAATTACCTTGTATATATGACATTTTGCCATTTAACTTGAAAATAATGGTGTCAAATTTGAAATGTCTTCAAAGAGAATATTATCAAATTTGCCTCTGTATATATAAAAAAAACTAGCATATGGCAATTAAATATTAAAACTGAGTACCAGATTTGAATAAATTCACATTAGGCTTTTTCTTGTAGTTGAAGAAAAAACATTTCTTTTTTGACTTTAGCACTCTGTATCTTAAAAATTAAGCTTATAGGATTTTTTATTTAATTGAGATGTAGAATCCATCATTATTTTCTGAGCAAGCACACAGACAGACAATAACCGCAAAAGATTGCGTATGATTAGGTTCTCGTCAAAGTTTGTTGCACTATTAGATCGGGTACCTACTTGTCTAAAAGAAATAATAACATTTTATTATTGAATCAAAGCCAGATTACAATAAAACCTGTTACGAACTAGCTCTTTATGCTGCCTACTAATCGCAATCATATTAATCAAACTATCAAGCACTATGTCTATTCTTTTATACTTTGTGTGGGCGGCACCCCTATATATGTTACTTCTTGAACTTTATTATAAGACGTTCACTTGTTAGATACCTGCATCTTAGACTATCTCTTTGATAATAATTCATTTATGTTTAATTGGTATTGACCAGAGGTCAGTTTGTAGAATAATTCTCACAGTATATTTTTCTATCACTGATTGAAACACTATGAATCTACGTTACTTTTTTTTTAGAAAAACTAATTATATTATATTATTATTAATAGGATTGGGGAATATTTTACATGAGCTTTTTTTAGCAATTTAATTCATTTCTAATCGTCAAATAGCCGCTAATGTACACTTAAAAAAAATTCTAAATATTATTTTAAATTAACAATTAACAATTTTATCTGTATTATTCAATCATACCCCGCTATTTTCGATGCTGCTGAACACGAATCTGAAGTTATTTCTGTGCGGTCGAACCAAGTTTTCGAGAAAAAAATGTTTCAAAATTCTAACCTGGATATTTTAGATAACACTAGGTACGTAGAACTCTGTATATTTTATGTAGCTCTCAGAACATCTGTTATGAACAATTAATACTCTTCATTTTCGCAAATTTCAAGTAAAAAAATATGTATTTAATAAATAAAAATTTTGTAGTTTGAATCCACTATTTGTAATTCCTGATGACAGCATTGAGTTCCCACACTCTCATTTATCTCTGTTCATCTCACATAAAGTTACTATAATTTTATTTATTAAATACATATTTTTTTAGTTCAAATTTGGGAAAATGTGTTTCTTAAACAATGTTGATTGTTTATTACAGATGTTCTGAAAGCTACATAAAATATACAGAGTTCTACGTAGTGTTATCTGAAATATCCAAGTTAGAATTTTGAAACCATCGAAAATATGGGCTTAGACAAAATTTCGTGAAAATTGAAGAGGGTCCCACTATAGTAAATAATTACCATAAATATTTGTTTTGACCGATTAAATTAGTTTCCCAGAATGAATGTGCGTGGATGTGTAAATATTTTTTGTCTGATCTGGCCTTTTGATACGACAGCCAACACTCGCTTACTTATAGAGATCCCCCCGTATTTCGAAAAGTGAACGCATGATGTAGGCGCATGCGTTGTTAAAAAACCAGTACCCTCTGCACATTTAAAAACCTAACCTGCAAAAAATGTTTATGTTTTGTTGGTGCGGTGGAGCTGTCTACTTCTAATTACAGTGCTAATTTATTTTATATTTGGTTATATAAATTTAATGCAGATCAGTTTCCTCAATATCTTGAACTAATTTTCTTATTTGAGAAGGCTGATTCAGTTTTTTTTTAAATAATTAAAAAGACATTTTTTATATAAGAACAGAAACTGAAATTGTGTGTGTTATGTGACAATGAGCATATATCGTGGAAGAAACAAAAAGGAATTTTATTTGTCTTCATTGCTGTACGACTCCATAGATGATAGGGATTTCAGGTAAGATTATTTCCTTGTACTTACCTCAAGATTTAAAATTTGCAGTTTTGT